AATTTAAAAAAACCACCACCACCAATAACAAAAAAACCTAAGCAGAGCTCTAATATAGTGCTAGAGGAATCCTTGCTCTCATTCTGCCAGGACACTGGGAGCCAGCCAGTCCCTGGGCAGCAGCCTTGGGCCTGTTTGCTGTGTATCTGGCTGTAGGACCCAGTGCTCTGCAGTCTTAGCCTCACAGTACAACCTCTTTCCCCAGCTCCTAGCTGAGGAGAAGACCATCTCTGCCAAGTATGCAGAGGAGCGTGACCAAGCTGAGGCTGAGGCCCGTGAGAAGGAAACAAAGGCACTGTCGTTGGCCCGGGCCCTCGAGGAGGCCATGGAGCAGAAGGCAGAGCTGGAACGGGTCAACAAGCAGTTCCGCACAGAGATGGAGGACCTCATGAGCTCCAAGGATGACGTGGGCAAGAGTGTGAGTACTGGGCTAGGGTTCTGAGCCCAGGAGAGCCAGGATGTGTGTGGTCTGAGTTTAGTTAGGATTCCTTGCTATCTGTGCCTCTAAGTAACTCAAAAGGGAGGGAGGGAGATGAAAATAAGTCTTTAAAACCTAAGCAGAGGCTGGAGACATGGCTCAGAGGTCCTGAGTTTAATTCCCAGCAACCACATGGTGGCTCTCAACCATTTGTGGTGAGAGTCCTCTTTTGGCAGGCATACATGCAGGCAGAACACTGTATACATAATAATAAATCTTAAAAAATTTTTTTAAAAAACCACCGGGGGCTGGAGAGATGGCTCAGAGGTTAAGAGCACTGACTGCTCTTCCAGAGGTCCTGAGTTCAATTCCCAGTAACCACATGGTGGCTCCCAACCATCTGTTATGAGATCTGGTGCCCTCTTCTGGTATGCAGATATACATGGAAGCAGAATGTTGTATACATAATAAATAAATAAAATCTTTAAAAAAAAAATTAAAAAACCACCACCACCAATAACAAAAAAACCTAAGCAGAGCTCTAATATAGTGCTAGAGGAATCCTTGCTCTCATTCTGCCAGGACACTGGGAGCCAGCCAGTCCTTGGGCAGCAGCCTTGGGCCTGTTTGCTGTGTATCTGGCTGTAGGACCCAGTGCTCTGCAGTCTTAGCCTCACAGTACAACCTCTTTCCCCAGCTCCTAGCTGAGGAGAAGACCATCTCTGCCAAGTATGCAGAGGAGCGTGACCAAGCTGAGGCTGAGGCCCGTGAGAAGGAAACAAAGGCACTGTCGTTGGCCCGGGCCCTCGAGGAGGCCATGGAGCAGAAGGCAGAGCTGGAACGGGTCAACAAGCAGTTCCGCACAGAGATGGAGGACCTCATGAGCTCCAAGGATGACGTGGGCAAGAGTGTGAGTACTGGGCTAGGGTTCTGAGCTCAGGAGAGCTAGGATGTGTGTGCTATGAGTTTAGTTAGGATTCCTTGCTATCTGTGCCTCTAAGTAACTCGGGCTCTCTGCTAGGTCCATGAGCTGGAGAAGTCCAAGAGGGCCTTGGAGCAGCAGGTAGAGGAAATGAAGACCCAACTAGAGGAGCTGGAAGATGAGCTTCAGGCCACTGAGGATGCCAAGCTCCGTCTGGAGGTGAACCTGCAGGCCATGAAGGCCCAGTTTGAGCGGGATCTGCAGGGCCGAGATGAACAGAACGAGGAGAAGAAAAAGCAGCTGGTCAGACAGGTATGTGTGGCCCCCCCCACCTCTGGAAAAGACACCAAGAACTGCCTCCTTTTTCCTCATGTAACATCAGGGCCTGGGAGGGACTCCTGGACCACCCTCCTGCTGCCTCATTTCTCAGTCCGATGTCCCAGGGCTCAGTGACTTACTTTATGCTTTGATGGCCCCCATGGTCCCCTGGATCTCTCAAAACTGGCTCATCTGAGCTCAGTGCTTCAAGCATGAGCCTTGCCTCCTGAGCTGCTGGTGTCCTTCAGGTACGGGAGATGGAGGCAGAGCTGGAGGACGAGAGGAAACAGCGCTCAATGGCCATGGCGGCACGGAAGAAACTGGAGATGGATCTGAAGGATCTGGAGGCTCACATTGACACAGCCAATAAGAACCGGGAGGAGGCCATCAAACAGCTGAGGAAGCTCCAGGTGAGGCAGACCTGGGTTGACCACAAATGGGGGAGTTGGGTAGAGGCTGGGAGTCAGGACCAGCCCTCTTGTGAGCCTGTCTGTGGGAGCTCCTAGCTTTTCTCACAGGTGAGGTTCAGACTCAGAATGGAAATGTAATAAGAGGGCCTGGGTACATTAAACCAAGGAGAAGGTAACTGGACATGCTGAAGAGTCGGGGATGGTGGCCACTTAAAAGCAGGCTTCCAGAAGAAACCAGGTACCTAGAGCCTGGGGCACTCACCAATGATTAAAGATAACATTAATCAAAACAGCTCTTGAGTGGTCCACCATGCCTAGCATGTCAGCAGTAGGAAAGATTAGATATCACATGGGCCAGTTTGGTGGCATTTTTAAGAGCCACCTATAATAGAAGTCACACTCTGCCTCTGAGAATGCCATTGTGAGATTTGTCTGCAGAAGGAAAAGCATCTTCAGATTGGGAACAGATGTCAGGAGGATGACAGAGGGGACTGAGTTTTCTGCCTTGTAGTTCTTTAACCTGGCTTGAAGCATGCCTACTGTCTTGTCCCTGAGACCACCTGGTCAGTGACTGTGTGTCATGGCTGCCACAGTCAAAAGAAAGTATAAGAAGTAAGGAGGACACAGTTTGCACTGTATCCAGGGGTCATTGCTGTTAAGAAATGCTGTGTAAGTCCTTGGAGGAGGATCCAGGTGCAGAGCCACTTGCCTTTGGTTACTTTTCTGCCTGTTTATAAAGAGGTTGGCCAAAATGGTCCCAGGCTCAGAGAGGTCCCCACGGGTGTGAAGTAGGTGGAGACGCCAGACTCTCTTGCTGCACACAGGCCCAGATGAAGGACTGCATGCGGGAGCTGGATGACACGCGCGCCTCCCGAGAGGAGATCCTGGCGCAGGCCAAGGAGAATGAGAAGAAGTTCAAGAGCATGGAGGCTGAGATGATTCAGCTGCAGGAGGTGGGCCAGCTGTGGGGCACGGGGCTTCTGCCTCCTGGCCAGCAGGGGGCAGCCTGGGGCCTTTTCCTGTTAGTAGGCCTCAGCCCAGAAGGGAAGGGCAGAAAAGCTGAGCTACCTCCTGGCAGGAGTTAATGGGAGGGGTCCTTCCAGGGCTCATGCCCTAGCCACACAGTTGGCATGGCATGGTGTATGCGTTCATGCTCATGAACATGTGTAATGGGGACAAGGATGAGACTCAGTACTCCCCATCTTTTAAAAGAAAATGTGACTGCTTAGTCCCCAGTCCATCCCATGAAGCGGTGTGTTGATTATAAGCTTACAGCGATTGCACATGGCAAGGAGGGTCCTGAGTGCCCCCTGGGCTGCTGCTTTGGTGACACATGAAGCACATGGTGGGGACGGGTGGGATGGTGAACTTCCCACAAAGTGCCACCGCTGGCTTATGAAATGCTTGGTCAGACCCTCTGCTCTGGCATGGTTCTTCTCTTCTACTGGGTGTAGGATAACTCCCTCCATTGTCACCGTCATGCGTGGTGCTCTGGAGGTTTCTACAGTCTGTCTGCTGCCCTTAGTGGCAGAGTCCTGGACTCTAACCTGCACTCAAGCCTGCTTCATTAATCATCTCAGTATCTGGTCTGACCATATGCAGGGGACCAGTACTGCAGGTCTGTCCACCCAAGCTGTCCCTGTTAGGCCTGGGTGGTTCCTGTTTATAGCCCTGGCTCCTGGCTTGGCTCCAAGTACTTAGGCATAGGGGCTTTATAAACACATGCCTAAAGGTGCCTCGGGCTGGAATTGACCCTGTGAGCTAGAGGAACAGAGGTATGTGCTGAGGGCCAGAGAGGACATGCGGCGCTGAAGGCTGTGTTGGTCCCAGTCATTTATGTTCTTGGTCCTTGTGGCAGGAATTGGCAGCTGCTGAGCGTGCTAAGCGCCAGGCCCAACAGGAACGGGACGAGCTGGCTGACGAGATCGCCAACAGCAGTGGCAAAGGGTGAGCCAGAGGGAGGAAGCACAAGCAAGGGTGTCTGAGGGCCTCCCCAGTTACCCAAGCCCTCACGTCTCTGGGTCCTCTCCAGGGCACTCGCGTTGGAGGAGAAGCGGCGCCTAGAGGCCCGCATTGCCCAGCTGGAGGAGGAGCTGGAGGAGGAGCAGGGTAACACAGAGCTGATCAACGACCGGCTGAAGAAGGCCAACCTGCAGGTGAGCATCGTGGTGGCCGCTGACCCTGCATACTGGGATCAAGACTCTTTGCCTGAGCTCCCTGTGGTCCAGCAGACCATGGCGGGCAGAAATAGGATGGATGAGTGTCCACTGTTCTCACAATGCCTCTGACCCGTGGCTTCAAGACCAGGCTTCAGAAGTTTCTGGGTCCTGTTCATGAGTAGATTCCTCTCTGAGAGAGCTGGGGTGTTCTTTGGTTCTGATGTCTGAGGAGAGGGTCCATGCAGCTGGGCCCCAGCCCTCCCTTGAGGTCACCGTACTGCCTTCTTGCAGATTGACCAGATAAACACCGACCTGAACCTGGAGCGCAGTCATGCTCAGAAGAACGAGAATGCGCGGCAGCAGCTCGAACGCCAGAACAAGGAGCTCAAGGCCAAGCTGCAGGAGATGGAGAGTGCTGTCAAGTCCAAATACAAGGCCTCCATTGCTGCCTTGGAGGCCAAGATTGCACAGCTGGAGGAACAGCTGGACAATGAGACCAAGTAGGTACCCCACCCAAACTGAGGGCAGTCAATGCAGGTCGGGTCAGGAATGAGCTCTGTCTTCCAGGCTTCACAAGCAGTCTTCATTTGTTCTGAGCAGTATGGAGTTTGGGTGGGAACCCATAGCCCACACCCAGAACTGGGAGCTTTGTGGGCTGTTCTAGTGAGAGACCCTGCCTAGCTGTCTTGGGGCTCAGAACTGAGACTTGGAGGTAATGAGGACCATGCTGGGTCCCAAGCCTCAGATTCTCCATAGGCTGGCTCCTTCACTGGTCTCATGGGTCAGCCCAGGTCCCATCCTGAGATGGCAGCTCCTGGGTGTCCGGAAAAGACACCTCCAGAGGTGTCCAGAAAAGATTAGGGCATCGGTCTCCAGGCCTCCGTGTGGCCCCAGGAAGTGGAGTTGGCTGTGTCACTTGGAAGAGTGTCCCCTTTCAGTCACCATGTCTGTCGTGCCCAGGGAGCGCCAGGCAGCCTCCAAACAGGTGCGCCGGACCGAGAAGAAGCTGAAGGATGTGCTGCTGCAGGTGGAAGACGAGCGGAGGAATGCCGAGCAGTTCAAGGACCAGGTTTGTGCTCAGACAGAGCCTTGGCTCTAGGTGGGCCGCTCTTTCAGGGCCCCTTACCTTAGCCACGTGTCTCTGCAGGCCGACAAGGCGTCCACCCGCTTGAAGCAGCTTAAGCGGCAGCTAGAGGAGGCCGAAGAGGAAGCCCAGCGGGCCAATGCCTCACGCAGAAAGCTGCAGCGTGAGCTGGAAGATGCCACAGAGACAGCCGATGCCATGAACCGGGAAGTCAGCTCCCTGAAGAACAAATTGAGGTGAGTCAGTCTCCTGTCCTAGACCTTACTCTTTCTCAAGTAGTTTGTTCTGAGTGCATTTCAGAGAGTCATCTCCTTCCAGAGCCAGTGTACAAGGAAGAGGTGCGTAGTGACCGATGTAGAGGGTACCCACCCTAGTGTGTCCTGCCGGGGTCTTCTTGCCTTTGGGGCTTAGCCAGGCTGTTGAATCAACTGCATATTCTTGGCAGTTCATTTCATGCCTTTTGTTTTGTTGTTGTTTTTTCAAGACAGGGTTTCTCAGTGTAACAGCTCTGGCTGTCCTGGAACTTGCTTTGTAGACCAGGCTGGCCTCAAAGTCACAGAGATCCACCTGCCCCTGTCTCTGATGGGATTAAAGGCGTGTGCCACTACCACCTGGCTTTTCCAAGCCTATTTTAACAGTCCATGCTCTTGCAACTCAAAGCCTAATGGGGGTGTTTCCATGCTGGGTTTTTTGAGTTGGCTGCTGGAGGCCTTCTGGCCCAGGGTCTGTACTTTCTGTAGAGTGAATGCTGGCATCACGATGCAGCGGGAAGGAAAGCAAGGCTTCTGTCAGTGTTAGAACTTTGCTGGGCTGCAGCAGATCTCGGGGAGTCTCCATTCTTCCTCCAATCAGAGGGAATGTTTTTTAAAGTATGAAAATAAGACTCTCATGAGAATTTCATCTGTGTTTTCTAATGTGATCAGAGGATGCCCCCGACTCCTGTGTGAACAGCTGTTCCCTGAGGTTCCGGGTCTACTTACATCTTTTTGTTTTGTGGTGCTGTGATGGAACTTGGGGTCCAACTTGTGTTAGGCATGTGTTCTGCCACTCAGCACTCACCCTGCAACAGTGCCACCTGCCTCCACTCAACCTCCCTGTGCTGGTGTTCTGTGGTAAAGACACCTGCAGGAAAAGGCTGGTGATGGTTCTGATGGTCCACTCTCCTGAGAGTGCTGCCTGGCTCACTTCCCCTGGCAGGAGTTCCTCTGAAGATCCACTTTGAGATCTGCACACCGGGCTGCCCATCCATCACTCCTTAGCTGGGCCCCGCTGACACTGCTTCTGCCCCTTCCACAGGCGTGGAGACTTGCCGTTTGTGGTGACCCGCCGACTTGTCCGGAAAGGCACTGGCGACTGCTCAGATGAGGAGGTTGATGGCAAAGCAGACGGGGCTGAGGCCAAGCCAGCTGAATAGGATCTTCTGCTGCCTGAGACAACAGACAGACGGCTCCGCCTCCCCTCCACACCCCTGCCTTGAGACTGCTCTGACCCTGACAACCCCCGACCCCCAGGCCTTACTGAGGGCATTGGCTTCCTCTGCTGCATAGTCCTCCATACCTTTCAAGAATCCGATACCAAAGAGTCCAGGCTGGCCCAGGCCCAGTGACCAGCAAGGTTTTGCCCCAGTTGCCTGAAAGCACAGGTGGTGGGCAAGGAGGGCAGCCCTGGGAGTGGGCACAAGAGTTTTCTATGAATCTATTTTTTCTTTAGATAAAGGTTTTAATAGCTCAGGCCCTCTAGAAGTGTTGTCACATTTCCCCCACCTTTGCTGCCAGCTCCTCCCCACTCCTTCCTCTGCTGTTGGCAATCACACATGGTGACCTCACACCTGCCCTCTGGCCCCTTTCCTGGGCCCTTCCTGATCCAGAAGGAGCAGTCCAGGGCTTCCACCTCTGTGCTGGGTGCAGAACAGGGGCACTCGGGGAACTCTCCCCATTCCCTTCCGGGTAGCACTGGTGCCTCTGCCCCTTCCGATTGTAAAATGTGTCAAGTGCAATGCCCCTTCCCTCCCTTGCCGAGGGCAGACTATCCCGGCACCGGGGCAACCAGACAGGGCATCAGGGCCACACTGGAAAGGCCAACAGCCTTCCGGTGGCTTCTCCCAGCACTCTAGGGGACCAAATATATTTAATGGTTAAGGGACTTGCAGCCAGAATATCCAAGAGCTGGGACCTACCATGCACTCTTGTGCCTCTCCTAGGACCAGGGCCAAGGGTGGCTGAGCTGCACCGCCAATGCTATAGCTTCAGATCTGCCTTCCACATGGATGTTTTTGAGAGAAAAAAAAAAAGTTTTTCCTCTTTTCCTTTCTTGGAATAAGGGCTACAGTTCTAGGTGTTTTCACTGCTTTTTCCTGGAACTGTGTTTAGAAGAAAGTAGCCTGTTCTACAATGGTCTACACTGGTTGCTGAATTTCTCTGTGCACCTCACTGTTTTGTAAATGGTGTGTTTAGACTCCCTTACGTCAAGAAGGCTTTTTTTTTTTTTTTTTTTTTTTTTTTTTTTTGTTTTTTTTTTTTTTTTTTTTTTTTTTTTTTTTTTTTTTTTTTTTTTTTTTTTGTTTTTTTTTTTTTTTTTTTTTTTTTTTTTAAAAGGGAACAAACTCCCTAGAACCAAACAAAGTCAAATCGTGAAGCTACGTATGCCGGAAAAGCTCTGAATTCAAGTCCCAGTTGCTGTCACATAGGAGTGAGTGGGACCCGCACCCCCCTTTTTTTTATATATATATAATATAAGTGCCTTAGCATGTGTCGCAGCTGTCACCACTACAGTAAGCTGGTTTACAGATGTTTCCACTGAGCGTCACAATAAAGAGAACTGTGTCCTACTCTTTGGTGTCTGGGTGTCTGGGTGTCTGTGTGTCTGTCCATAGCAGAAGGTGCCCTGGAATGTCTGGGCCAGCTGAGAAGTCTCAGGCAGCACTAGGGGCTTACAGCCTGAGAAGTGAAGAGCCTTCAACCTCCATGCAGGCAAAGAAGCTGGGCTGTCATGGGCCCAGGGCTCATTCAGGTGTGCCTCTTCTTCAGCATGCTGGGGTCACCTTTCTCCCAGGAGGAAGGAGTCTATGGCACTGACTGGGAGTGCCTGATGCTCCTGATGACGGTATGTGCACCAAACTGAGGGCAGCGTTCTCTGCGTCGCAACACAAAAGTTTGGTAATCGTGGTGTCTTAGGGTTTCTTTGGCTGTGAAGAGAACCATCACCATGGCAACTCTTAAAAAGAAAAACATTTCATTGAGGTTGGTTTACAGTTCAGGGGTTTAGTTTATCTCCACAGTGGGAAACATGGCAGCATGGAGACAGGCATGGTGCTAGAGAAGGAGCTGAGGGTTCTACATCTTGATCCACAGGTAATAGGAAGTCAGCTGTAACACTGGGCATAGCTTAAGCATGGAAGACCTCAGGGCCCACTCCCACAGTGACACACTTCCTTCAACAGGGCCAATCCTAATAGTGCCATTTTTCAGTCAAACCACCACACATGGTCTAGACCCTGTCATCTTTATACTTAGTTTTCAACCTTGAAGCTGACACATTTGGAGATATGATGTTCTATCCGAGCAAAGACAGGACAGTTCCTGAATAACGCTAGTGGCCAGGCTGTGGTGGCTGAGAGCAATGGCTGTCCTTTCCATTCCCAGGCCATCATCTAGGGCTGTTGGTGAGGGATATGGTTCCCTTCTCTGTCTTTTGCAGTCCTGACAGGTTTGTCTATGCTGACTGCTTAGGTACTTCAGAAGCCCCATGTCACATGCTTAGTTGTAAGATCCCTGTCCCTTTCTGCATTCTTTAGAGAAAGAGACCAGCGCAGAGGTGGGTGCCTGTTCTGGGCCATCCAATGTAGTGTTCAGCTTGTCCTCGTTAGTGTGTGCAGGTATCAGGGTAACCATGGTGGCCAGGTGCTTTGACTGCTGGCCCCAGCACCATCCACTAGGTGGTGCTGGCATTCTGCCTGACTCGCACCACAGTTTTAGGGTTATTTCATGGGATGAGATGACAAGCCCTGTGCTGTAGGCAGACATCTGGGAGACTGTTTTGGATGGCACTAGTCAAGCTGAGCTGTTATGTAGTAGATCTTCAGATTTCTGGGTGCTTCTGGAGCTCAAGACATCTATGCCCTATCCCACCAAGTGAGTCTGTCTAAGACTGCTTGAGAGACCTGTTCTGGTCTATTCCATACTCTGATCATCACTGCAGACTAGCTGCTCAAATAGACATTTACCTGGTTCTGCCCCTTGCAGTAGTTTTGTCAATCCTGATAAAGGGGAAAGACTTGATGGAAGTGTAATACAGAAAATAAAACAAATAAGCATAAGCAAAAGGGGGGCTGTCAGGGATTACATGTCAGAATGCCTGTCTCTATCAGTTTGAGTCTTAGCTCTGCCCCTGCTCGTCTGATGGGGACAAAGTCTGGCTCCTGAGATACAAGGGCCCAGAGGGCTGTTATCCAGTCCTCCTTTGAACATCTATTCTGTTTCAGGTCCTGTGGGGGAAACTGAGGTCCCAGGTGCTTTGCCAAGGGGTCCAGACTGGCTAGCTGGACACACAGGCCTGCATCTCCCCTGACTTCTGGTGTCAGTTTGTGGGTGATGGAGGCAGAAAGCAGAAGCTGTTCTGGGTGCCTCGGTGGGCAAGAGGATCAGGTGTGGGGACCGAGAGAGGGCACATTGCCAAACATTAACCACAGATCCATCCCAGCTCTGTCATCATAAGCTCATTGGGTAGACAGATCATGGGCATGGAGAGAGAGACTGAGTGTGAAGAGGCCCAGGCTAACTCAGAACTTTGTTGAGACAGCGTCTCCCTAGGAACCCCAGGCTGGCCTGGAGCTCCCCGTTAGTCTGGCTTCAAATCCACCATCTTTTCATCTCAGCTTCCCACGCGCTGGAATTCTAGGTTTCTGCCACTAATGCGGCTTTTAATGGTTACACTTGGTGCTTCAGTCTCACAGCAAATGGGTCAGTGGTCTCCACCCTATCCATCAAGACCTTATGTTTTAAACTGGTGGATAGATCACCTATGCAACTGTCCCCTGGAGGCCACTGCCCACCAGTGGGATGGGTCTGGAGTCTCTGTAGTGGGAGCAGGAGACAGCAGTCTTTGGGAGTCTGGTGCCATGGAGACTGTGGGAAAGTGAGGGAGCAGCAAGAACAGAATGGAGGTGTCTCACTATGTATTTGGGGAAACACTAGAGAGGGAGGGTCAGCCAAAGCAAAGACATGGATGTGTCTTGGTCACTGAGGTCTTGAAGGTCTATGGTGGAAGTGGGGCAGAGCTGGGAAG